TTTTCATGTGGCCCAAAATATTTTAAAACTTCATTTGTAACTCTTCTTTGATCGACATTTAAAACATTGTGTCACCTCCACATCTTTTGGGATTTCCCAGTTATCTTTCTGTCACTGACTTGTAGTTTAAGTCGGTCTTGGTCTGAGAGAAGACAATGTATGTATGCTTTCATTGTCTTAAATTTGTTAAGGTGTTTTTTATGACCCAGAATGTGCTCTTACTTGGAGACTATTCTTCCATGAGAATATGAGACAAATATGTTACTTTTGCACTACCTTTGTTAAAAATCACTTGTTCATATATAAGGATATGTTTGTTAACGGGTGTGTGTGTGTGTGTGTATTTATATCTGGACTTCCTATTCTGTTCCACTGATGTTTGTCTGTTTTTACACCAGTACCATGCTGTTGTGATTACTGTAGTTTTAGAATACATTTTTAAATCAGGTAGTGCTAGTTCTCTAATTTTGTTCATTTCCTAGATGTTTTAGTTACTCTAGGTTCTTTTTATTTCCAAATGAATTTTTAGAATATGCATGTTACTTTGTACAGAAATCTTCTGAGGTTTTTATTGTGACTGTTGAATCAATATATTGAGAATTGACATCTTAATGACACTGTATTTGAACGAGATATCCATGTATTTAAATGTTCTTTAACTTTTCTCAGCAGTATTTTGCTTTTCAGAGATGAGGTTTTCCAATCTGTCAGATTTATCTTTTAAATATTTCACGTTTTTGAAGCTATTATAAATGGCACTTAAAATATCAATTTCTTATTAATTACTGCTGGTGCACAGAAGTCAGATTAATTTTTGTGCCAGGACTGAGATGTGGTGCGGACACCCCTTTGTCTGGGAAACAAGGTGTGGTGAGGAGAAGGGCTGCCCTCCTGCCCACGCACATTCGTGCTGGGGGATCTGGTGCTAAACCATCTGTGGACCACCTGCTTCTGGGTCAGGAGTTTGTATGTAGAAGAGCAGCTCCCTTGCTGTGATCTATGGGAAGTCAGCCAACCCTTGACACAAGCATTTATAAACAAACACAAAAGAATGAAAGAAATTAGTTTTCCTACTATATTGATCTGGCATCCCAAGCATCAGAAAACTTTTTCTATAAAAGACCAGCTAGTAAATATTTTAGGCTTTGCAGGTCATATGGTCTCTGTTGCAACCTTCAACCTTCCCAGTACAGTAAGAGAGTAGAATAGACTTTAAATAAATGTGTTTCAAATCTTTACAAAAAATAGGGCTAGGGCTAGGTTGGGCTACAAGTCATAGTTTGCTGATCCTTGCATCCTGCAATCTTGTTAAACTCCTTAGTTCTAGCAGCTTTTAAAAATGTGTTGAGGTGAAAATTGCTTAACATAAAATTAGCTTTTTAAAATGGACAGGTTAGTGCCATTTTGCATATTACAGTATCATACCACCACCTCCTCTCACTGCTTCCAAAATAATTCACTCCAAAGTGAAACTCTTAGTGCTAACCAGTTTCTCGCCATTTTTGTCTTCCTCGGCAGCCAGTCTATACTGTGTACCTATAGATTATTTACTCTACATGTTTCACATCAGTGGAGTCATGCTACGCAGATAGCTTTTTGCTTTTGACTTTATTCACAAAGTGATGTTTCAGAGGTTCATTCGTGTCCTAGCATTAACCAGTACTTCATTCCTCTTTAGGGCTAAATGATATCGTCTGTATAGGCTACTTGTTTATTCATTATTCATTTGATAGACGTCTGTATTGTTTCCCTTTGACTGTTATGATAGGGGTGCAGTGAATGTGTATGATCATGTTTACTTGAGCACCTGTTTTCAGTTCTTTTGAATGTATACCTTGGAGTAGAATTAGGAGTTAATTGGTAATTCAGTATAACTTTTGGAAGTTTAAAAGTTCACCCACTTAAAAGAGTGGAGATTATTTTTATTAAATTTACCAAGGTGTGTAACCACCACTCCAGTCTGGTTTTAGAACATTTCCGGTACCCTCGAAAGTTTTCTCACATGCTCATTTGCACTCCTAGCCATAGACAGCCATTGCTGTTTTCTGGCTGTATGGATTTGCCTTTTTTGGACATCTGATGGAAATCATATAATATGGCCCTTTTGTCTGGATTTTTAAAATGTAGCATGCCTTTGAAATTCATTCATATTATAGCACGTATCAGTATTTCCCCTTTTATGGCTGTACATAATAGTCCATTGTATGGATACGCCACATTTTGCTTATCTGTTCAGTACTTGGTAGACATTAGGGATGTTTTCACTTTGTGACTGTTATGCTGCTATGTACCTTCACATGCAAGTCACTGTATATATTTTTTTTATTTGAGTAGATTGGAACGGAATTAGTGTTATTTGCCCTTCATTTTTAATTCCTTGAGGGCAGAAACCTCAAGGAATTTTATATTTATTGTCTTAGAGGTCTTTTGAGCGGGAGCATTTACATGGGTAGCAAATGGGTAGCAAAACTGATCAGGAAGTATTTGAGATGTATTCTCATGTGAGCTTGTGCTTGGTTTTTATGTACAGTCCCTCTTTCTAGCTACTTGGAAAGAATTTTGTTTTTATCTTGATTCCTTAGTCCTAGCAATCAGAGATTTTGTATGGCCTGTGGTCTTTCTCTAACATAATCCCATGTACATAGTCGTACTTTATAAGACAAAGGTACAGTAACAACAGAAGCTTATGCCTTACATTGTATGTACTTTAGAACTCTGTGGACTGTTTTTGGTATTATTTTGGCTGGATGTCCCCAAGGGCTCATAGAAGGGCCTTCTGAAGTGACTGACTAGGTGCTGTAACTAAATGATTCTCTGTCAAAGTTTTGTCTCATTTTTAACTAGGAAACAAGTCTGACATAAGAAAGTAGATGAAACCAGGAGTGTTAGTATATGCCTCTAATCCTAGCAGTCTTGGACACTGAGCTTGAACCCTTAGTGAGACTCTGGGCAACTTAGAGAGACTGTCAAAATTAAAAAAAAAAAAAAAAAAAAACACCAAAAAAATGCTGGGGGATTGTAGCTCAGTGCAAAGACCTTGGGTTCAATCCCAGACACAGGGGGGAAAAGCCTTTCAGCACTCGGTGAAGATGAACTGATATAATGTACGTGATGGTGTTCTACAGAAACGTGAGGTTAATTCCTGCAGGTGAACAGCCCAGTAATACCGAATGTAAGTACCATAAGGTTACTAAGGCTGTTAAAAGCCACTTACTGCCAACTGAGAGATTAAAGACCTAAAATATTTACCTAAATGCCTCTGTATTTCCAACTTTTTCCACACCGTCTAGATAGCTCTTACTTTGTCAGCCGAGAAACAAACTTTGACTTGTATTGCGATTTTCATTCACACATGACTTTCTTTCACTTCGTAGCCTCAGTGCACCGTATCACTTGAAGAAAAGCTTGTTACTTTTTGTGGGCATTAAGTGAGACAGAGGTTCCTTACTGTGTATTTGACAAACCAAAGGGCATTCTCTAATCTGTGGGCAGCTATTTTATGGTTTTCATGTTTTTTTCTTTTTTTAATATTTGCCTCCTTAGGGGTCTAAATCAAAACAGACACAGTAGTAAAAGGGATCATATTAATTAAATAAGCCCATGTCAAAAGAGCTGGGCATGTAATGCTAAATATAGACTCATTTACTCTAGTTAGAAGCTCCTTATTAATAATTTCCCAGTAGTGGCTGAGGATTTGAACTCCACAGCCAGATGACCACTGTTTAAAAACGTCCTACTTAACCATTTACAAGCTTTGTGACCCTAGGCAAGTTACTTAATTCTTTTAAGTCAGTTTCCTCATAGAAGTGCAGAAAGATAATGGTACTATTTATAGTAGCACTTTCTAGGGTTGCTAAGATTAAATATATTGACATGTGCACGGCACATAAAGGGTTCAGTAAAGCATTAATTTAATTAAACAAAACAACCATAACTAGTTCTGAGCAGTTCCTAGACTAAAGAAGATGTTATTTGGTATCTTATAGCTAAATGGTTTCATTATATAACTTTTCCACTCAAACTTATATAAAGGGAGAAGCTATGGATCTGTTACTCAAATTCTGAGCCTGAATCTTTTTCTATAAAATTAGTGTCTTCCTCATCACTTGTATTCATTCATTCACTGGGTGAAGATTCACTGATCTAATGCATGTAATGGTGTTCTACAGACATGAGGTTAATACTCGCACAGCTGAATGGTCCAGTAACACTGAATATAAGTACTAGTACCTCATATGCTATCTCTACATTGTACCTAAAAACACTGAGATTTATTACATAAGTTTCCCATCATATACTCTTAAGTAGTTGAGGGAAGCAATGGTGTTTTTCTTATTAATCTTGTATCTTCAATATTTATCATACAGTATTTATCAGATACTTGCCCTATGTGATGGTTAAGGCAAATGTGGTTTTAAAATCCTAATACTTTTTCTCTTAGGGATAGCAGTCCTTGGTGGAAAAAATTTTTATAGGGACATTTGTTAGCTCGTCTAATTTGTAGACAGGGTTACAGGGTGTCTTAGAAGATACTGTACCAGCAGATTGTATAGGGTAGCTTGTTTACTGCTTTTCCGTCTCTGTCTTTATTTTCTTTGTTGTACAACACTGCTATACTGTATTTATAAGACTAGAGCTTAAAATAAGTAAGCTAAGAATTTTAACTAGATAACATTTGTTTACATGTCATCTTTCATGGTAAGAACTTGCATGTGAGCAGCCTCAGGAGTCTCCTTTTCCTTCTCTCAGTGCCCTTTGTAGTAGTACGGACACAGCCAGTTGAGGCACGGGTGGGATAATCCTTGGGTCTTTGACACCAGCGTAGAGCTCAGTTTGAATTTATGTCTTATTAGCATGCATACACTGCCACATTGACATTTAAAGGTCCACCTTATCATCTTAAGTTTCCTTGAAGTGGTAGCTGTACCTTCACTAGAAGGACAAAAAGAGTCAGAAAATTAGAACTGCACAAGTTTTACAAAAGCATGTTGGGAGTCACATAATGAAAAAGCAGAGTTTTATTATGATGTTTCTCTATATTTGGCATTGCTGTAAATGGCTAACTAACATTTACGGCCAGTTCAGTACAAATGTGTGGTTTGATAATACCAGACAGCAAATTTAAATGAAAAATAGAAGTTAAACATTTCCACACTTTACAGTATGACATTTCACTGCATAGGTAAAAAGACAGTTTTTAAACTACAGATTATTATTCAGCATGAATAAAAAACTACAACTTTTATTTTTAAACAGGAGTCACTGGTTTTAATTTTTACACATTTTAAAATTACTGTGATAAAAAATAATGAAAAAGCTTCTTAATAATGCCATACACAGTATAATATAGATTTGTCCCCATTATATAGCATTTGTTTAATATACAAAATAGAATATTGACACACTTGAATCTATATGTAGTTAAGCAAGTTATTTCAGGAGGGTATTTTCAAACAGCTTTTTATCAGAAAATAAAATCTTTCCGACATTTTCTAGAGAGAAGCTAATCCTTTCCTGAAAACCTGGTCACGAATCCTTGGTGGACCAGGCTGATTGAAAATAGTCTGGAATATGATAAAACTTTCACCCAAAGTGGTTTAAAGTGTTCTCTGTACACTTTTATTTTTCCCTTTGAACACTGAAACCAGGCACATAAAAACACATTGATCTACAGCTGCAGTCATTGGGGTGACCAACCAAGATCAAAATCTCACTGAAGGCTATCATGATTCTTGCGTTTTGACAGACCAAAGTATGTAATATTGTTGTTCATTTCATGAAGCAGTTTTAGGGTACTTAAAAGGGACCTAATGGTAGGGCAAATAAAAATGAAATTGTTCATCTCCTCCCGTCAGCCCTCCAAATTCTGAAGTGACGTTGGCTTTCCTGTGTGTGCTTGCGCAGAGCACATCCTGTGCTTATTAGAAGCTCTTCAGCCCCTCATCATGGTAGCCTTCCTTGTGGGGTGCCCAAGTACTCTTCCCCCAGAGAGAAAGAAGGTGCTCCTTTAGGTTCCCTCTGATAGTTCTGCACATCAGGGTACACCGAAGAAATGCCAAGCCCTTAGCTCTTCAGTCCTGCTTGTACAGTATCCCACAGCAATGCAAAGAAAACCAAGATGGTCACTTTGTACCACCAGTAATTTAAATATACTTTTGGATTTGTTGTGAGTCACCTAGGCTCGTCACCAGCTCTCACTGAAGTTACTGCTATAGTTTGGGATGGCAAGAAACCACACACCTAGAAAATGAAGCTGCTTTCAAACTTTTTTCCACTTCAATCCGTAATTATACTCAAACATAATTAGGTAACTTTCTCACATATTTGAAAGGAGCATAGCTTCTTTTTTCATTTAATGAAAAGCCTCCTAGTTTTTATGACTGTCAGTTGACTTTTTGACAACGTTTTTTTTGAAAGTCAAGGTTGTTGGGACTAAAGATTAAAGTGTGACGTGCTTTCTGGTTTTAACCATAGAACATTATATAAATGAACAATCTACTTTGAGAAGATCTTTTTTGAAATTTAACACTGTCATTGCTGATATTCAAGTGGTATTTCTTAGGCACCATAAATTCACAACCAGCTGGGTTACAAACCATCCTAAAGTACTTTGAGAAAATTTAAACCATTACAAAAGGAACGTTCCCTTTTAGAGAGCATTCAAAAAACAAATGATTACATTTTTATTAATTAAATAATTTTTCCACAATACTGAAAATAACATTCAAAAGCATTCAAAGGAAACATAAACATGTCCTCATTTTACTTGGAAATGAACTCTGGTAGGATAGAAAGGAATTAGTGTATTACTGGCATCCTATGAGATTCTGCACTATTTACATATTGCTGGTACCTCTATGCATATTATTGCCAAACTTCTTAAGCCTGTTGGAGAGGCTGTATGTGAAAATAACCCTGCTATTAGGTGATGCCTATAAATATGTAAGTACCACCTTTCTGTCTTGTTTACACACTGCAAATGCAAGGGGAGATTTAGTAAACTAAACCTGTGCTAACAGACTCACTCTTGGAATGAGAAGGGTAGTCCGAAGGGGAGGCAAAGAATTAATTCCTCTGTGAGCTGATTGGGTCAGAGCCTCAGCAACCTTCACCGCACACAGGGCCAGTTTCCATCTTCCCTTAGAGCAGCGGTGGCGAACCTATGGCACGCATCATGCCATGGGGCAGTTTGTATCATTGAAAGCTCTAAACGGTTCACCATCACTGCTCTAGAGCAAACCTGTTTGTTTCTGAGACCACTGTTTCCTGTATGAACATTTGTACACACTATGAATCATTTAGATTATCCATCAACATTTCTTTGACCCCTACAAAAAATATATAACATGTTGTGATAAAACAATCTCATCTAAAAATCATTCTTATTTTACACTATACAAGCTATTTTACAATCATTTTAATAAATTGCATGTAAAGCTGCAGTAGCCCTTCCCTTCCCAGATTAGTGAATACCAATATGATATATATCTGAAACTATAACTAAATATAAAAATATATTAGAAGTTCCGTATTTTAATATTAGATTTTCAGTTTTGTTACACAAATAGTTTGGCCACCTTGAATAGAAATCAGATTTCTTGTGGCTTAGTAAATATGTTAAGTTTTGAGTTTACAGAAAGTTTGTAAGATGCGCACAGAAAGGGCTACTACAGCTTCTGTTTTAAAATAATTCTCAACAGTGAAGAAATTCACAGGCCTTGTGTTGAATTCTATGGCACACGTAGGGATGTGTAGTTCTACAAACATAGAAGTCTGACATTCAGTTCTAAATCACAAAGATCAGTAGCTGAGCTTTCCTGTACCACTAGGAAAGATAGACCAATTGATGACAGATGGGAATGTGAAAATGGGTGTTTAGCCGCTTTTGCCATATCAGAGATTTAGTTTTTGGGTAAAGTTTGGTGAGAGGAATTACTTGGTCTGATTAAAAAAAACTTTCAGCCATGTTACAGCTGGTATCTGGAATCGTAACTTTTAAGAAATTATACACACTACTTCAAAAGGTCCCAAAAGACATTTAGTTTACCAACTTTCTTGCCATCTAACCATCTCAGAGAATAGGGCATTGGGTACAAACAGGGCCTCTTAATAGTTATTTTTAAATTAGTTTTTGGTAGTCATTATCCACAGTTTACCCAGGTCACTGGATTAGGTGCTCTATACCTGTTAGAAGGGTTAATTTGCACAATCTATGTAATTCTCCACTGAAGCAGATATATACAAAATATGAGCTGTTTTTTGACAAGAATACTGGAGATTTGAGTCAATTTTGTGGTCTTCTGATAGCTGAGTGCCATCAGGTTAGAAGCACCAACCCATTTTCACGCAGAAGATTAATGTTTAGAGTTTGTTAAGGAAAGCTATGAACTAGCTGCCCATCTTAAACAGCTGTACAATAACTTGAATACAAAAATTATGTAAGAAAAAATGAGCAAGCGTAGTTCACTGATTAAAGGATATAAAGGAAATTGTTAAAACCAGACAGTAATAGCTATAAAAGGCACAACTTCCCTTTTCTGATATACACTTGTAAACTTGTTTTCAGGTTTCCATGCATAAATCAAAAATGCTATCCTAACTATACATGGGAAAATACACCAACAAAAAGTCTAGAAAGTGTTGTCCAGCCAGCTGAAAAGTATGAGCAGAAAGTTCATCACACAGACTTTGGGCACTGGTGGTTCGGGTGCCATCCTTCTCTGATGGTGGAGATTACTCCCACATTGTTCTTTCTAATTTCTAGGATGTACCAAGTAATAAATTTCAGTATCTACTTACCCATCACTTTAAAGTGATGACTCAATTGCTTCTGTTGCCAAGTCTTGGCCCTCTATAAACCACATGTAGTGCATACTTAACAACAACAACAGCAACAACAGCAACAACAGCAACAACAGACAAAAACAAAGAAAAATAAAACAAACCTCTATGAGACAAATTGATAGTTTGTACAATAAAAGCTATAAATTCAACTTTCTTTAAGGCAATCTTTCTTAGTAAGGCAGTCATTTTTGATGAAATAAAAGTTTTTTGATATTTCCATTTGAATATTTTGGTAGTTGATTGGTGATGATTTCAGCTAACATCTCAGGGAATTCAATACTCATGGTCTTATCCAAAAAAGTTTGGAAGCAGTAGTTAAGGAGGTTTTCAACCACCTGCAAGAAAAGATATAGTGTAACTAGGCTTCAAAACTGATTAGGATGAATATGTCACGTTAAATACACAAGTCTTTACCTGAATTCTGCAGGTGAAAAAGTGTAGTGTCATAAAATAAGCACTTAAGTACAAAAGACAATTTCATGCAATTCTGCATACAGTTCAATTTAAAACAAGTGTTCATGCTGAATTTCAGTCTAGAATATATAAAGGTCATGCTGTTTTAATTTAGTAGACTATTCATACAAAAACAGGGAATTCTACCATTTCAAATATTTGTGTATTAAACCATATTGATTGTTTATACATATGAGTAGATGAAATAATATTTCATAATTGGCCTTAGGAAAGATATATGGAAAACTGAAAGATATATGGAAAACTTCACAAATTGGGGACCAAGTGCAGGGGCAGAGGAGACTATTGTTATGTAATTATATACGCTAATAAAAACCTACTTTATCTATCATAACATTCTTGTACATATGGCTTTATGTTTGACACTTACTTCATGCATCGAGTCCAAAAGTTTTGTCAGCTGATAAAACCTCTGCCAGTTCTGGCTGGAGTTTCCTTCCCTTTTGACAATGGCTTTTCCTAGTTCTTTGATGTAGGTCATTCTAATTTCATCAAATAGCTCTTGGCTCTTCAAACCTTCCTTAGGAACTAAAAGGTTAAGATGGAGTCAATTGAAGAATTTCCTTGCTGTAATTTTTCATATATCAAGTGTGGCACTTAATACCGTACTTCACAGTTTAGTTTTAATGCATTCTAAAATACGCATTTTCAAAGGCTTGCGAGACTGCAGCCAAGAGAGAATGCGGGATAACAGAGGGTCTTAACCTTGGGAGAATCATTTGGTTTTTAAAGTTATAAAAAAGAACTGGTAATGACACTTTCCTCCTATTACTCAATGTTGTTTTAAAGACCAAAGAATTTGGCTATCATTCTGCACTCAAAATTTAATTCTAATTTTCAGATAGAGGCTTCAACAAATAAGTGTTATTTCCAAGAGTTATGCTTTACAATATCTATGGCATCGCTAGTTCATTACGACTTTGAAATTAGCATTTAATGCCCTCCTACACCACCCGTCCTGGGGATTGAACCCAGTGCCTTTGTGCTGAGCTATATCCCTGGCCCTTTTGAGACAGGATCTTGCTGAACTGCCCAGGCTGGGGTTGAAACTGTGTTTCTCCTGCCTCAGTGTCCCAGGGTACTGAGATTACAGTCAGGAGGGTGCAGTACATTTTAAAAATGTGCTAGCGTACTGAGTTGCTATGATTCCAGCCTAAAAAGAAACAGGAGCAAGCATCTGCCTTTCTTTATGCACTTACAATTATTAAAAATAGCTCACGGAATCTGGATGGGAAAAACCGATACAAATTTTTGGTATATCACTTTAAAAAATTAGTGGTAGTCAAAGACAGTTCAGCAGGTTTGGGAATTTCAGGACTTCTCAGAGAGACTGTATTGTGGTTTCTAGACTTCCGGTTGAAGTATTATCAGTGACCATATTCATGCCATAAGGGCAGAGTTGAGGGACTGTGACAGACTGTGGAAGGCTCAAAGTGTTCATCAGTTTGCCCTTTACAGAAATTTGCCATCTTTTATCCTATGCACAGTACTGGATACCCTTCTATTTTACCTTCCAGTGTCTTCATTTAGATTTTTTTTTGTTTGGAGGTTAAGAGAATTTATTGAAAGGAACTTACTGAAAGGAAGAATAGCTTCTGTGTAATAGAAACAGAAGGGTGCCAGAAGGTGGGTTCCTTTTAGATGTTTTTGTAAATAGCATAAAGTTATTTTAAAAATCTAATCTTTCAGTTAAGCTTGGAGTATTTAGTCCTTCTCTACAGAAACTATGAATTCATTTGTACTACTTCATCATGCCCCTTTTCGTGTTTTGTTACACTCCTTCCCCTTAAACTCTCAATGGTTTGTTAATTTGCACTCTAGTTATCTTTTGAATTTAAGCATTCATTATTATCAGACTCCAGTTTGGGTTTATATGCAATTATTGCATATTTTAGTTCCATTTTTTAAGCCACTAAAGATGTTACAACTTTTTATATGGAATACATATTAAATATATCTATATATTTACCACTTTATTCCTTCTTTATTCCTTCTTAAAGATGATGTTACTTTCCTTTCTGTCTTTTTTTTTTAGGCAGGGTCTCCCTGTGCAGTTCAGGCTGGCCTTGAGCTCACTTTGTAGTGTAGGCTAGCCTCGAAATCACAGTGATCCTTCTGCCTCAGCCTCCCGAGTGCTGGAATTACAGGTGTGTGCCACCACGCCCGGCATTACTTTCCTTTCTTTAAGTTTATTCTTTAATATTTTTTAGTGATGGTCTGTGCTGGCAAACATTTTTATTGTCATTTTAAAAATAGTATATTGATGCCTTCAGATCACTTTAAAGTGATGGTTGCTATAATGGGATTAATGTCTACCATGTTTGTAACTATTTTCTACTCATCATACTTTCCTTTCCTTTCTATTGTATCTGCCTTCCCTGCCTTCCGATTTTACTGAGCATTTCATAATTAATTTTCTTTCAGTGTATTACTACTCCTTTTGTTTTTAGTTGCTTAGTTTGCAACTTTCATTTGCAACTAATGTACAGTGCACCCTTTTCAAAAAAATACTATGCAATTACATAGATAATATAGGTGAGTACCTTTTAAACAGTATTACAATGCTGTCATTTATTTCACTTATCATGTTTTAATTATCTAATTTATCATTACTTTGAACAGTTATTAGATCAACTAAGAAAAATGAAGTTTTATCTTCATGTATTCATTCTCTAATGCCCTTTTCTTATACAGATCCATGCTTCTGAGGCATCGTTTTCCTGTCCTCTAAAGAACTTATTTTAGCATGTCATCCAAAACAAGTTTAATGATGGTGACAAATTCTCTCAAGTTTTTTGTCTGAGAAAGTCTGTGTCTGTATTTCTCCTTCACTTCTGAAGGATAACTTTGCTGTACACACTCTTTTGGATTGGTGCTTTTTTTCTTTCAACATTTTAAGTATTTTAATTCACTTCTTGTATGGTTTCTGATGAGAAATCTAAAATATGTAAGCTGTTTTCTTCTCTCTTGTGAGATTTTCCTGTCTTTGGTTTTCTATTAGTAAGTAGCATATGCAAGACACAGATTTCTTGCTATGTAGTTTGTTTGGTGTTCTCTCAGCTTCTAGGATATAGATTTGGTGATTAATTCTGGAAATTTCTCAGCTTCTACTTCAAATAGTTTTTCCTTTCTCTTATTCTTTTTCTTCTGGTTTCCATACTTGTGCATTACACCTTTTTATGTTGTCCCAGAGTTGTTGATTATTGTTTCTTCTTCTTCATTCTTTCTGTGTCTTTGCATTTGAGTTTGGGAAGTTTCCATTTACTGATCTTCATGCCCAATGATTTAGCTGTGCCCAGTCTTCTGAAAAGCCTGCCTGCAGTGTTCTTACATTAACTCTACATGTCCTTAGAGAGTTCCTTAGCAGTCTTAGAATTTTGCACCTCTCTGCTTATACCACCCATCTATTCTTGCATGTATTCTGCTTTTTCCAGGATAGCCCTTAATATATATTTAAGTTTCCTACCTGATATTTGCTTTCTTCAAACTGACTTGTTTCTTCCTCTGAGCATGCCTTGTAGTTTTTTGTTGAAAGATGTACCAGAAGGGATGGGCATGTTTAATGTTTGCTGTAGCTGGGCCAGAGGACCTACTTTCTTTTCGTTTTCTCTCTGTGGTCTTTGCATTTCCCCTAAAAAATTCTTACGTAGTTTGTGACCTCCAACTACTCTCTCAGTTGCACTCCACTGTTACTGTACTGAAATGCTGGTGAAAGTATGGGGGAGGGGAAGTGTTTTGTAATCTTTAGGGTTAGATCTTTGCTATTTTACTGGTCCTAAACCCCTGGGGATTCAGAAATGTTTCTTAGTCTTTCTCCTTCTCCCTTCCTACAAGAGACGGGATGGCCAGAAGGGGCTGAATTTTCTCCATTTGCTTTTTCCTCCAGGCCAGACAAGGCTCTGGTAAAAACAAGTCCCTCACAGGGCAAACGTTTGTCACAAAGAACATGTGCCATGTATCTATCCAAATGCTTACTCTCTCCCTCTGCCACCAGAAAAATGAAAGAGTTTTTGTCATCATCACCATACGTTTCTGAAGGTAAAACCTAAGAGAGTATGGCGTATAGACAAGGTATCTTGCCTGTATCTTCTGAATTACTACTAGGAGGACAATACACAGGCTATCCCAATAGCCTGTTTTGAAACTTGGTTTTGCTGTTAGATTTATCTTTTTTTTAAAAGGAACAGCTGGGATAAGGGAAATAAATATGTATCTATACACACACACATACACACACACAAGATAGCTGGGATAATTGTACTATTGATTTCTATTGGTTTGTTGAAAGGAACAGTTGATGCTTAATTGTTTTATTGATCTTACATGCCTATGTCTGGTGATCTGGGCAGCTACTTTAAAGACAACAATATATAACAACTATTGTTAATTTCCTATCACCTTGTTTTGAAATTCTGTATCATTTTTATTGTTGTTTTGTTTTTGACTTTCTATTTTTTTTTTCTCTTTAAAATAAAATTAAGAAAAAGAATGGGGAACAGTGGTTTTCTGAGAGTTTCTAGTCTTTATTCAGCCTCCAGGAACCCATTCAAATTACAATCCTCTTCCTACCAGTACTGGCTTGAGGCTTGTGGTCCCAGTAAACAGACCTTGGAGGCTTTTCTGAATTTGTGTATTTCTCCAGATTTTGGTGATGGTTTGCCCTGTGACAGTTCTCTGATACATCAAAAAAAGTTTATTTTTCATGTTCTGCTTATACATACAAACACATACACTTTTAAAAATGTATTCTGGATGATCTTAGATAAATATGTCAGTACAAGAGTCCCTTCAAATATGTCTATAATCAGCTTTTAGGTGCATCTGTTACTTTTCAATTTCACTTATATTTCTAACCCTTGTCTTTAAACTTACTACATATTACTAACCTGACCGTGTTCTACCAGAGAAAGCTAGCTTCAGGATGAAGCTAAACTTCTGAGTTTCTATCTTCATTTTGTTTTCATTTTTTAAGACCACCAGTGTTAGTCAATACCAGTAAAAGTCTATCCATAAGACATGTATTTCTATCCTTGTGATTCTACACTTTTTTTTATTATGAAAGAATCTGTAGTATGTAACTAATTCAATTTAGTTTCTATCTACAATGAAAAGAACATGTATAGCTTAGTCAGTCTGGTACATGTGAAATCTAAACCATTACTTTTTACAAATTAATTTAGTGTCTAGACACCAATCTGATCAGGGTTTTATGAAACTGAAACACTAGATTTACTTCTTTAACAAGTATGTGTTACAGGTGACATTAATCAGGTCTCTAGCAATGAGCTTTACCTATAATTTTCTGCTTTGATTGAAATTAATATTCCTTATCTCAATTAACAAAACATCGTATAGTGCAAAGATACTGTGAAAGCATTAATACTGGTATATGCATTGGACATGGTTATGGTACATGAGCAATATCCCTAACTTGAAGTTACTAAGCAACTATGAATCCATAATTACTACTGAAATGAAGACTTTCATAGACATTAAAAATTTACTCATTAGTATATAAAAAGAAATAGCCACTAACTTGGTGTTTTTATAAACATTAATTTGATACATAGTTTTTGGTGGAATGGCATAAAGATTATAGAAGATTTTATTTTAGATTCATAATAAGACTAGAAGAAGGTACAGAGATTTTTCATGTGCTGCCCTCCCTACTATCAGTATCTTTTGATGAGAAGTATATTTGTTACTACTGATAAATCTATTTGACATTTCATTATTGCCTAGAATCTATAGTTTAGTGTTCATAATTGGTGGTGTACCTTCTATGTGTTTGAGCAAATGGATAATGGCATATATTCAACATCCCAGTAATATTAAAAATATTTTATACTAATGTACAGAATATTCTTATTCCCCTAAAAATCCTATTTCCTCCTAATCCCTGGCAATCACTGATCTTTTCATTGTCTCCATAGTGTGCCTTTTTCAGAATGTAGCAATGGAATGGGAATCATACAGTAGATAGCACCTTCAGATTGGTTTCTTTCACGTAGTCGTGTACATTTAAGGTTTTTCTGTAGTTTTTCATGACTTATAAAAGTCATGAAAGCCCATTTCTGTTTAGTGCCAAATAATACTCCCTCATCTGGATGTACCAGTTTTTCTTTATCCATTTACCCACAAGGACATCTCAGTTGTTTCCAAGGTTTGGCAATTATCAGTAGAGCTGTTATAAGCATCCATGTGAATGTTTTCTGTCAACAAACATTTTCATCTCCCCTGGATAAATACCAAAGGGTGCAGCTGCTAAATCACAAGGTAGGAGAGTGTTTAGTTGTGAAAAACTACCAAACTGTTTTCCAAAATGGCTGCACACCATTTTGGATTCCCACTAGCAATGAATGGGAATGCCTGTTGCTCCATATCCTTTTCAGTATTTGGTGGTAGTATTTTAATTTTTCCTGATGATGTATTATGGGGGGGCATCTTCTCATTTGCTTAATTACCATCATTTATCTTCTTTAGTGAGATTCCTGTTAAAATTGGTGTTGTTTTTTAAATGAGGTTGTTATTGTTGAGTTTTAAGAATTCTTTGTACATTTTGAATAGTTCTCCAATGTCACATGTCTAGACCTTTCTTTTATTACTTATTGAGGCAGTACTCCTTAGGTAACAAGTAACAACCACAGAAACAAAATCATTGGGGTTGTTTTATTTTTTGTCTCACATAGTAGTAGTATTGAACAAAGGCAGATGAAAGTAGTATGCTCAAATTCTGATTAGCAGCACTCCCTGAGCAACTCAGGTACATATTTCTCCTGCACCCATTTGTCTCATTAATCTTGGCATCACTGAACATTCCTTTCTAAAATTTTACATTTTAAAAAATCATCTGACAAGCAAAACAATAGGAATAAACTTGCTACAATTATTAGCAAAAAATTATCTATTTTGTATATAAACTTTTGTTTCTAGACTTTAATATTTCATACTGAAGTGAAAAAGTATTCTACCAACCTGAAGAGAGAAGAAGTAAGGTTTTCATACAGAGATACTCTTCATAAGACACCTGAAGCCTTTTTAACTCAGAGGAAACATATAGCATATGTTTACATTGGTCATACATGCAGGGTAGGGTCATTCTCTGCCTGTAAGAGAAAATAAGAGTGAATTAGGAAGAATGGTAATTCCAAAAAAGGTACATTTCTTTTGGTTTGTTTTACAAAATTATGAACTTATAAATGAAAACATAACTATGGCTATTAATGCTAATTTGTTGCAGAACCATAGTTTTGACAAACAAACTTTTTCCTGGCAAAAAGTGGTGGCAATCATACAACACATGTGCCACAGCAAGCTGTATATATCACTGAAAACTGTAAAAATTTTACCATCACTAGTATATGGTAGCTAAACAGACTTCTATCATTGTATGCCATGTATTTTATTTACTTCAGCATGGAGTTTATTCCCACAGAATTTATTATCAGGTGCTCATTTAAATCCAGGTTTAACATGTGAATATGGGCTATCCACTTAAAACCACTTGAAATTTTTGCTCTGATCCACTTGAAAATCCGTTTTTTTTTTTTTTTAAATAATGTTCCATCTGAAGACAATCATGTTTAGTTATGTAGAAAGGCCAGAACTAGCACATGACTCTAGACTTTCTTACACCTTTCAAAGTCTGCCTCTGATAGACATTTTAGTGAGCATTCTTTTAATTCAATGTACTAAATCAATTCTTGATTATGAATCTCAGTAGTCACTATCACATCCATGACTTTTTTTTACTTTGGAAGTATGTAACAGTAAGAACCTGAAAATGGGCCTAGTTCATGGCTTTTTAAATCAAGATTTTTTTTTTTTTTTTACAGTGGAAATCATTATTTTACCCAGCATGGTGGCACACGCCTGTAATCCCAGCACTTATGAGGCTGAGACAGGAGATCAGTGTGAGTCTGAGGCCAGCCTGGGATACATAGTGAGTTCGAGGCCAGCCTGAACTACATGGTGAGACCCTGTTTCAAAAAAAAAAAGTCATTATTTCTACTAAAGATGTGGTTTGTTTTCTTTCTATGATAAAATGAATTAGACATGAATTGTATGGGCCAAAATGATCACAGAAGAGTTTCCACGGCTCTTTAAATTTAAAATCTCTCGCTAGGGAGCCACCTTCCCAATCATCCACTAGTAATTAAGAATTCTCTGGGAGCCTTTAGTTTCCTGTTTAGTTTCCTATTCATGGCTAGAATCCCTCCTATAACTGAAAATCTCAATAAAGTTACCATGTAATAGAGTATCAGTGCATTCTTAATGGCTGTAAAAAATATTCTTTGTACACTGTGACCTAAGGACAACAATGAGACTGTTCTACAGTTATATAGAAGACTGGAACCTTTACTCTCACACCCTAAATCTGCCTGTCACAGACACCAGAGCAATGCACAAACACAATGGGCTAAAAAAAGAAAGATGGAGCCTGTCTATTTCATATGTAGCAGCACAGGTACATAAAAGAGTGTCAAGAATGCCATCTTCAAAGCTAGTTTTCCTCTTGCCAGTGATCTTCCTAAAGAGTTGAACAGTGAGTGAAGAAAATCCTTTAACAATTAGATAAAAATCTCCAAAAATACTTATATATTTGATAGTGGAAATGAAATTAATGTAGACTGGAAGACAACATCTCTGTAAGGAATGTATGTGGCATTACCACGCTGTACTTAATAAGTTGGAGTGCCCTAAAAATAAAACCCTAGAATTAGATTATTTTAGTTTTACAAATAAAAGGGGTAAGTTGTTATTTCATATAAACTTACTCATGGTTTTAATTCAAATTAAATGACTTCAAATTGCTTAATAGAAACTGTAAACATTTTTTTTTTGAAAGCATGGTTGGATTCTGAAATGAGTGCAAATGTCTTGAGTTTCCATATAAGCTAAATATATTTACCAGTTAACTTAAAATTGGATCAGACAATCTTGTTACATTATGATGTGGTACTTTCAAAGTTCTTTTTGGCAACAAATGGTTCCAAGTGACTTCTTTCTCTGATACAGATACTGAGACAGCATCTGTGTGAAGGCGTGGGCTGGCCAAGCCCAGGTACTATCTATTAGCTAACAGCTGTGAGATATGGCCCCTTACAATACAAAACAATTGAATACAGTATCATGTATGGTCCCAGTCCTAATTACAGAGAGACATTGATCACATATCATGTGATACTCCCAATCATCATGTTCTAGCAGCCCTCCGAAAGGAGGAACAGGTAAGGATTATCCTACCTGATGATCATGTATGTATTTCATATACCTTGTCATGTCTTTTTTCACTATGAAGTGAAGCCTGATCCTTTCTTCTTTGTGTTTCATCCTCAAGAATTTATTAACTGCCTTGTTTGAAATAGACTTTTGTCTAGTTAAAAACAATCAGTTTGAAGTTATTTTATGTATTTGGTGGTTATCTGTGTATCTCCTATGGATGACACATAAACAAATGAAGATTAGGGATCTTTTGTTTGTCTTGTTCTTTGCTTAAGTTGTGTACTGTATTAGGCACATATTAGGACTACTATGAAGATTTGTTCTTCCCTTCTGACCTATTCTATTTCTTGGTCATAAAATAAAATCTAAACTCTTATTTCATGGCCTAAAGGATTCTGTTTTATTTTGGCATCTGTTCACTTCTCTAAAAAACTCAAACACTTTGCTCAGCTGCTTTTTCTCAGTTCTTCAACAAACCAAATTTGTTTCAAGTCTTTGTACTTGTTTTTTCTGCTTTGAAAACTGTCTACTTTCACATGGTGTGTTCTTTTACACCATTGAATGATCAACTACTTAGGTCTTCTGCAGTCATAAAATCTAAGCACATTCTCTTCTTCATTCCCTTCCTCCAGTTACACTATTGTATCATGGCTCTGTGAAATAATTCTGGTTATTTATTTGAATTCTCCTATCAGAAGGTCAGCAGGGGCCTTATCTATTTTGTTCATTATTATATTCCAAACTCCTATAATAATGCCTGGCACTTGGTAAGTACTCAAATACCACTGAATAAATATAGTACTGGAAAATCAGTAGCACCAATAGAGAAGCAATACCAAATTTAACTTAGAGTTCATCTGGGATTTTCAGACTGGTTTTCTATGCTGCTAGTCTAGTAGCAGAGAAACCCGAAATCTCCGCTGTATGTAGTTCTAATTTATCCTGAGAAATAGCTAGTTTTGAGTTTACATAAGAAGAGGTGTCTTGGATCTACAGTTGCCCTGATACCTGTGGCTTTTTGCATACTGCCTCAGAATCTCTTCTTTAAAAATCTCTTCTTTAAAATACATGGGACTTGTGTCATCCAGTCCCTACTGAAACACTTAAAATAATGGGAACTTGTCATGTCTGAATTGTCTACACATTGTAATCTAGGCTGTCCCTTTTAATACTGAGCTCAAATAGATGCTTTTCTGTAACTTTTTTTTTTAAACCTGACACACCCAACAGGGAATATCTGGTATATTTTCATATGCTATGTCTTTAGGCTATGCTTGCAAAGTTCCTTTTTCCTTTAATTATCCATCACTGTTAACTTTTAAACTCCCTGCCACTCTGGAAATGACTTCAGGTGTCCATATTCTTAATGTGACACTCAGTTCTGATAATAACTAGTGATGGGTTTACTCACATTGTCTCACAAGTGTCTGTTATTCTAATGTGGTTTAAAATTTCATTAGTTTTTTTTTTTTTTTTGGGGGGGGCAGGGTTGGGGGTGGTTCTTAAGAGTATCCAGAGCTCACAATTAAGGAAACTCCTGGGACTGGGGATTTAGCTCAGAGGCACAGCACCTGCCTGGCAAGTGCAAGGTCGTGAGTTTGATTCCTGGTACCGGGGAAAAAAAAACCAAAAAAATAAACAAAAACAGGGAAACTCCCATCTTTTTTCACATAAGTACAAACTTCCTTTTTTGACAATGGGTATATGTATGTGAACTCCTTATTTACATTCTAATAAAAGGAGGCAAGTGTGGACACAAAAAGTAAAGTGTGAAAAACTAGAGATATACAACACCATAAGCGGAGGGTGTGTTTGAAGAAAGATTTAGCCGAATAGGCACAGTGCGTGTGTGAAGAACAAGGGGAGAGTAAAGTGAGGCTAAGTTCTGCAAAGGCTGAAAGCATACACAGAATACACTGGATGGTCAATGAGGAGGTACTGAGGATGTCCGTACACTGGAGAGATACATGATGTGATCAGAACTGTGCTTCACAAAGAAATCATAAATCAACACAACAAAGGCTACACTGTCAGTAGAAAACTAGTTGACAACTGAAATATGATATGGAAGTGAACACCTGAAATTTCACAAATAGAGGCATAGGCCCAAAGGTTAAGAAAATGTCTGATTTGACTGGTTCTCTCTCAAAACAAAACCAGTCATTTGTTTCTGTGTTCTTTCTAAGACACAGACGTTTAGTGAACCTTGCCATGCAGAAAGATACTTCGTGTTTCTGGGTTCACACCTCTCACCCATCAGCCGAGACGTCCTCATCTGTGATTGTCTCTGCTGAAGCCTACTGAAGCCACATGAGTTCTCATGCTCCTTTTCCTTTCTGAAATAGGGTTATATAATTGAAACAGCATTACAGTAAGATTCCTTGTTACTTGTCACAGATTTCACTGACCCTACAGATGCCCATTATTAAAAAAAAATCCTTAAGTGTGTGCTGGGACAGTGATAATGCCACACACACTTGTTCTACATTACATACGACCTGTCCTAAGCACTAATAGTTCTGAGTTTGCCTGGCTCTTAGCTGGTAGGACTGATTCAACCTAGAAATAACTACACTAGGAGGCCCTCAGGAATACAGACAAAATGATTCACATATGACTTACTCATTAACAATCAGATCAGGTGCAAAACACAGCAAATTTCCACTTGATTGTCTGTATGATCTCCACCCCAGGGCAAATGCCATGAGAAACATCCATGAGTACTGCAGGAGGATCATTTGGTCATCCAGGTGTAAGTTCTTGAATCCTAAATGGAGAGAAATCAAGGTATGAGGAAACATGAACAGCCAAAGAGCTGTTAAATCAATTAACTTGGTGTGGGAAGACTCTTAACAGACAAAAGTTAATGCAGTTTGTCATCTGACACATTAATACCCAGGCCTTCAGAACCTTTTAATGGCATTCTGTATAAAAAAAGTTTTGTCCTTTTGTCATCTTTTGCCCATTTAACTAAAAATGAACTAAACAGTAAAATAAATCAAGAGTCTTGGTTTGGAATCATGCTCAGCCAGTGAACTTAAAAGTTTCCCTGATGAGGGGCTGGGGATTTAGCTCAGCGGCAAAAAGCGCCTGCCTGGCAAGCGCAAGGTTGTGAGTTCGGTTCTCGGTACCGGAGAAAAACCAAAAAAAAAAAGTTTCCCTGATGCTCACACTTCTTTCTTCCCTGATAGAACAATAAGCCTGTCCATTTCCCTCTTATCTGAAAAGTCAGGCTGACACTAACTGCTGCCTTTTGGTGTTCCACAGGGAAAAGTGTTTAAAATTATCTTAAAAACTAAGTAATATTTTACATTCACTTTCTACATTTTGGCAAGTCAACACCATTGATATTTACCAGTTTTACAAACAGCCTGAGGGAAATAAGTGGGATTCTTAAAAATAATTATACATTTTATTCTCTTAGATTTCAGATGGTTCTGACATTACATCATCCCCTATAAAATCACTGTTATGAGAAATAATCTGAAAAGTAGGGAGCAATGTAAAAGTTTTACTGTAGTCTTTCCCCTTGCCCATATTCACCCAACTTTCTGCTTCTCCATCAGAACAAGATGTGCTGTGAGATGAAGATGATAAAGAGTGAGACAGTTTTTGTTCAAAAAATCACATTTTATAATGTAGTTCTATCACTCCTCTGCATCTTACCTGGTATTGCCTTTGCCCACTTCACTGCTGCAATCACTTGGCGCCCGCCTAACATGTTGAGTGTGGTCATGATCCTCCAGGTTGAATCTGGAATAGAGGCGTCATATCCTGCATATAACACCTCAGGTTCAATGACCTCCAAGAGTGACACCAGCGTAGGGGTGAGTTGCGGTAATGTTGCAGGAACTATTGTTTTGTTAGGATTTTCAGGAGTATCTTGTGAGACTCCTGTAGTGGCTTGCTGAATTCCTTTTATTTTTTTCTTTGTTTTTCGAGCTGTGAGTATTGAAAAAAACACACAGAAATGAACTATAATGTGAAGAAATAGGCTGTGAGTTTATTCAAATATTTTAAACTGCTGGAACTATTAAGACTAAAAGAGGAGAAATATTTTAACAATTATGATAAAGTGACATGGCAGAGTAGGAAATTTTTTTTCTGAAAGCAAAGGATTCCCAACAAATTTTTAATACTATTTTTCCTTGTATGTAAGCCAATAACTTATTTACTTCAGTTATAAAAGTCTTACAACACTGTTAAATCAGTATGAGCAAAATCACTTCTGCAAATTTTTCTGTAAATTAGTTTTTGTCATTTTCACATGTGCTATATTGACTTCTGTCAATTGAAAGAATCTAAGTTTGTAAAGATTAAAAATTGTAGTTTAGGATTAACCTAAATTATGGTAGTATACCTGAGGGTAGCTGCATGAAATACTTGTTCAAAGACTCTTATGATAGGAAGGTGAGAGATCATATGCTAAAAATAGCATTAGTTGTAACAACAGCAAAATCCACTGTGTACATGACGGACACTGATTAGGACTAAACAGTTGGGGAGCTGAATAGAAAAACTTCATCTTTAAACATAAGTTATCAATGGGAAATTTCCCTTTTATATGGAAAATTTGTAATGATGACTATAAAGGATAATGAAGTATCCTTTTCCTATTTATATAAAGTTGTCTTGTATCTTGGACTTTGTATGAAATGCTGTGATGAAATTACAGCATGAATTCTCTGCATTGTTTTAGTAAACTTATTCATACTCCTGAAGTTATTTTATTGACTGAATTAAGAATTACAGTATTTTCTCTTAAAGAAACAGTACTGAATATGCCAAAGAAGGGCAAGGATTGTAATTTTTATGAAAGAAAGGTACCTGCCTCAGTTATCAGCATGCAAACCATTTTACAAAGGGAAAAGTAAATGCAAGTTAAAGTAATCACTAGACCTCCTACCCTTAGAATGATACAATACAGAGTTTGTGGAAGATGGATATGGTGGGTTAAGAAAAAAAGCCTGCTGTTCATATTAAAGACTGTTCTGCAGGCACTGAGAAAGTTAATTTTTAGATAACATTTCAAAACAGAGAAACAGGATCATGTCACTATTCCAGTTTAGCTGCCATGTTATCTTGCAGGCACTGTACAACAGAATAGTAAAGAAATAGAGTAGTAAAAGTAATCTGAAATTTAATTTTCTCTTCTGTAAAATAATAATATGAATCCCTACCTCACAGGGTTGTTTTTAGAATTAGAACAGTTCCTATTACACAGTAAATACTGTAAAATAAGTTCCTATCATTACTCCAACTTATAGGAAAATGTACTTTCTGCAGTCAAGTAACCTGGTCCTACTTGAAGCTGGATGTGTGGTTTAGACAATTAGATTCTTTATATAGTCTGTCCTATCAAGAGAACCACATGGATTCCATTCTTTTTCTTATCTAATTAAAAATACAAATCTGATCCTATTTTTGACATTACTTTTCATCTGATCCTTCCTTAGCTTCTACATTTAGAGTTTAATGTTTCTTCTTCCAAGGTGCTTTCCCTGACTTTTGGGGCAGAATTAGGGAGACCTTCCCACTTGTTTCTGCAGCATTGCTCCTTCTGTGGTGTGCCATGCTGTTCTGTCAACCTAAGCAGTGAACTGTAAAACACTAAATTTTAATCATTGTATGACTAATAACTGTCTTGTTGGTGAATACTTGCTGAATGAAAGCATTAGTATCACAACAAATACTAAACAACACATGATTTATGAGATCACTATATTCCTAGAGCTTGCCATTTCAACTACAGCAGAATTCTAGCTTTTTTTCAGAGCAAAGTTTTTAATGATGACATCAGTGTCAATTATACAACTTGTTATATAAACAGGGATATGAAACTATAATATAACTACTTTCAAGTTTCTTCTTTACTTTCAAAGCAAAACCCATACAATGCTTCCTACAGTTTTCTTCCTTGCATACCCATAATAAGACACACATACTTCTAAGTATTCACAAAGTCCTATTTTACTGGGCAGTAATACAAAATTATGCTAGTCAAGCACATATACAACTAAGTTGAGTGAATTATTAAATCTACTTATGTCTTAAAAAGTAAAATGATCAGTTTTTATACGACAGAGATGAACAATTCCTTTCAGTTTATTTGCATTACCTTCCAGGTTCATTCCAGCTTGAAGACATTTTCGATAGCGACAGGCTGGGCAGTTTTTTCTTCGAATTTTATCTATGATACAATCATTTCTTCCAGCACAAAGATAATTGTGCTGTCCTATATGGAATAAAAGACACTTAAAATTTCAAGTCTTAAAGAAACTTTTTGTTTTTGTTTTGGGTAGGACACAACTGCGACCCAAAGGCATTCACTGATTAAGGAAGGTAAGAGTGCACTTTCCTAAAAAGACACGAGTTACCAAGTTGAGTGGTCATCTACAAAAAGTTTATTAAAATAAAGCTTTATCGCAGTATACACCTACATAAAAGTACCCAAATCATAAATTTTCACTAAGTAAGAAACTGAGCACTCTCTCAGATTCACAAACAGAATTGTATCCTACAAACTCCTACATACTACTCACCAAAAGTAACCACTTTATTATTTTATTATGACTTTTGGCCTGATGCCAGTGAGATGAAAGGAAGAAGAAACTGTTTTAAAAATACTGTGGGAATCTCAAAGGGAAAATGGCTTTAATTCAACATTATGCCACCATATGCAGATAAAATGTGCCCCTCATCCCCAATGTAAAGTGAGTGACAGGTAAACAAATATTCTTAAATATTAAGATTGTAACTGATTAGGCAAGTTATAGAATTATCAAACTAAACTATCATAGGTAGGTCTTAATTTCACACGTCAGACTATAACAATGTTTGATTCAACATTAGCTCAAATATTAAGATTGTCACTATCTCTTTTAGTACCCATAGTTCATTAACGTATTAAGAACAACTACAATTTCTTAAACAAAAAAGACTAAATGTACATTCTTATAGTCTTCTTTTAGTCTGGTTATTGAATGTTTAAGGAATGTTGATGAAAACCAAGAGAGGATCTCTTGGCCTAGAAAAATTAGAGTGTCCTGCACATGACCAGCATGCCTGCACAGATACACTAGTGCTCCCAAGTATGTATCTGGGCTCTAATGTGTATTTTCTTTGTGTCTACCTGAGAAAAACAGAACAACTATGAATTAGGGTATCAAAGGACTGAAGAATGTTAGAGTTGGAAAGGGCCTTTGAGAACATTGAAGTCCAAATCGAAAAGAAAACACAGTAAAGTGATTTACCTAACATGGTCCACATTTGCTTTTATTATTAATTATATGTCCTAGCCAACATAAATGATGAACATTTAAAATTTTATCTGGAAACATGTTATAAAGAAATTAATGTAAAGCAGAGATAAAGCACAAAGGCCATGTGGCCTTCCACAGTGGTGTATTTGGGAGATAAGTTAGCTTTGTTTTGTGGTTTAAGTCCATCTGGATGCTTTCAGGTAAGGTTTGTATGTAGCTCTCTTATACCAATTTGCCCTTCTCGCACAACAGCTAACCCTGATAGGCATTCGAATCTATAGCCTTGTTTTAAAGAACATGTAAAAAATATTTTTTAATGTTCATAATTTTTAAGGCTCCACTGCCTCTGACTTTCACATTCAAAAAGCTGTTTGTCTAATTTCTTATATACAACAGCAGTTTCACATCTTGGAAAACACTTGAGACTCCCCTTTTGTGTATGTATTATATAATATCCACACTGTTAGGGAGACTGCACTGATGGTCTTTACTTATACCTCTAGTTGATACATTGGGAGCTAAGACAAAACTTGTACCCTTGTCACCTGGGTGGGGTAGCATGAGTAACTTTAGAGTGCGCTAATGTATTAAAAAGTAATCCAAACAAAATGACTCATCTAACTCTCAAAGATATATAAACATAACTCTAGACAGCTACTAATCCCTATACAGTGGATGAGTAATTATGTTACTTTAAAAATTAATACAGTCAGAGCTACAGGTAATGCATTCAGGCCACATGCCTCCAAACTACAAATAACTAAATTACATTATTTTTTTCCAAGAGGATTCACTGGTAAAATTAGAGTCCTTTCTAATAATACTTTGCTATGGAATGAATAACTCCTTTAGGGAGATACTGTTCTTGTTCCTGTCATCAGTCTAAATCCATAACCAGAGTAAGGTTTACATTAATAGAACACTGAGATAGTGAAATAATTTTCTTTAAAATATCTTTCCTGACCTCAGGCAGAATTTATCACTTCTTCCTCTATTATAATCTCTGTACTTGTAACTGTTAATTCATCTTTCATTTTGGTGGACTGTCACCTCCAAGGGAGCAGAGATCAGGTCTAATGTATTTGTATCATATAGCATGGTGCCTGGCTTAATAAAAGAAAGCAGGGGAGCTGAAACGAATGTCTTTTTCCCCTCACAGTTTCCAGTCCTAGATGTTCTAGTCTGATATATGGGCTGTACCAACTGGTATAGTTTGTGGCTTTGAAGTCAACTAGGTTATGGGGACTCCAACCCTCTCATTCTAATAAAATGAGTATTATGTTACTGTCCAAATTTAACAACATTCATTTCACATAACACCACTGTCTTAGTGGTCAAACTCCCTCCCACCAATTTATGTTTTTAATTTTAGCTCTACTTGTGTTTTAAAAAATATTTCCCTTATACTGAAGACTTAAGAGCCACATTCTTTACTGATTTTCTAACCTTAGTAGGCTTTGCATATAAGTAGAAATTTTACAGTCTACTTTGAGAAATGGGAGTCAAATGGACAAAAAATAGAACTCTTCAAAACACACACTACCTTCCACTGCTCTTTTGAAGAATACTTTACAGCTTCCACATGTCAAGACCCCATAATGGCATCCCGAGGCTTCATCAGAGCACACCAGGCAGAGTTTGGGAGGTGGTCCCGTTGCTGCTGAGGAACTAGATGGAGGAGAGCTTACATCTGGCCTCATTCCAGGGCTAGAGGAGGAAAAACAGGGTTATGATTTAACTGTCAGGCTGTAACAGCAGAGTCAGGTTAGCTTTCTCTTAGCTTCTCGCTCCATGGCAGCAATCGCTCTAGCTTCAGGTTGTACAACTATGATATGCCATCTAAATATACTGAAATGATGAGAAGGAGGTCATTTCTTCTGAAGTGTACTCCAACAGAATGGTAAAGTTGTGTATCATTCAGCAATTATAATTTTAATTGCTTATGATTTATTTTTATAATTTTATTAAGGTGTCACAAAATCGGCATTTTAAGAGTACAGTTTATGAGTTTTGTTATTTAAGTCATATAACTACCACCACAACTAAGAGAGATATTTCATCACTCCAAAAAGATACCTCCTACTCCTTTAATTGCTTATGATACCAATCTCCTTCCCCCACCCACTTCTGAATTATTGGGGAATCAACCCAGGGTCTTTATGTTGAGCTACATACCCCAGACTTTTTTTAGTTTTTGAGACAGAGTCTTGCTAAGTCAGTTAGGCTGGGTTTCAACTTGTGATCCTCCTGCATCAGGCTTTTGTTCCATCCTCCTTAAAACTGGTATCTTTATAAATTCATTCAAGTTTCATTACAGTTCTACCTATGTCCTCTACCAGAACAAAAAAAATTATTGTCTTACAAGATTGGTCCTATATCTCCTCCCAATGTCAAGCTAGCTGAAACCGTAGTTCTTAAGGCTTAAAAAGACGAATCTAGATAGAAGTAATTGCTTTTGTAATCTGTCTGGTTTGTAATTAATACTAGGAAAAGCACCTGGCTTTCAACATAGAAGATCATTCTGCCTTCCTCTCATGACAAAAATACACCTAAGAAATAGGGGAAAAACATGAAACTGTTTCTCTTACCATGTCTCGTTTTTCATTCTGCAAGCTTCTCACCACAAGAAGTGCAGGTCTGGTGTTTATTTAAATATATATTTTTATAATAAAATATAAAATATATATTTTTCTCTATTATTTAAATGTCTAATTTTTTAATGGAAACAAGTCTTTATTAACTAACTTGTAATATCAGAAAAACAAAACTCTTTGGCAAATATATAATATCAGTGCCTTGGTCATCTTAAATTAAAGGCCTTTTTCATCATAAAACATATGGTTTTAAACTCCAGTTAAATTTATAATCCCTATGGACTTCTTTACATACATGGTAAAAGAGTAGTAAAATGAGGTAGTACTAAACTATACTGGTTATTATTCTGAGTTTGTAGTTTTTAAAAACAGGATGTGCACATAATATATGTTGATTTTGAAAGGCATGTAATTTTTCTTGAAGGTTTCCAACCTCATAATAATTGAAAGTAGCACACTATATATGTATACTGTTTACCTATAGTTACTAAATCTTAACATTTTGCCACATTTGTTTATAAAACAGTAAAACAATCTCCTTAATACTGCAAGAAAAGTTACAGTGGCTTCCAATACTGTACTTTCCTAAGTTTTCACCTTACACATCACCTTTAGAGCCAAAACTGTACTATGTAGCTAAAAAGAATTTTTAACCTGCTTATCATTAGTAACTGCCCATTCTTTATCTGGTCACATATTCTCAAGCAGACTTCCAAAAAAACGGATGGTAGCAACCTGTTGATTTTGGAATGCCACATAAAGTGTGTTATCTATCATTTATACAAGGATAATACATGTAATGTTTTATGTCCCCCAAGTCCTCATGCACACATAGGTAGGGCAAGAGTTTATTAAAGTTACACCACGTAGCAGTGTATATTTTGTCTCTTTGGGAAAGCAAGATATCCTGGACTTAAGGGCGTTACCATCTATGAAAGAGGTGGAGAGGTTCCGTTTTGAACTCACTATACCTAGGCTCTTTAAGTGAAAAGCCAGGAACAAAAATACCTTGTTGAAGTGAATCTCTGAAGGAAGTTGGTTTCTAGTCACAATGCTAAGTGTGCAGGACACTGAGGCCTGCCGAAGGTTAGAGTTGAGAGAGAAAGAAAGTGTATATAGCTTTTTTCCTATGTAGTAACTCATGAAAGGGATGATCATGGATGAAACATTCATGGATGCATTACTCATCACATACCTTAAGAATGAAATGTGCAGGTAAATTACACCCATTTATTCAGCAGACACTTCTGGGCAACTGAATGTCAGGCACTGGGAAGATATTGAAGCCTTATCTTGTACAAAATGCATTACTGAAATGACAATGAACTTTGAAACGTGTCTAGGAAGGACAGCAGAACTACAGTATTTTTTAGCTGTCCTTCATGTCACAGTGCTACTAGATACCAGTGAGTCTTACAGAGAGACAGTCTGGGTTCAGATCCCAGCCTCAGTGCTCTAACAGTAGTATGACCATCTGGACAGCTGCTTTTAATATAAGTGTGTGCCTTAATTTCTGTGTGGCTTATATAATCATACCTGGGGCTTGTCAAACAAGTCTCTACCCTACCCATAGGGGTTATCTCTGTTTTCCTTCTCCAACTCATTTTCCTGCTGGAAGACTCCAAGGAAAGAGAAGTACTGTATACTTTTTCTGTGATTCTATACAAGGCTAATGGTCAGAGGCTAAAATTCAGGTAATTATATATAACCTTTCTTGATGCTTCAAAATTCATTAGTTTTCTTAAAGGGTAATATTTCAATGTGGGATCTGAAACCCCATTATTAAACCTTGCGCTTTGATCCTTTTCCATGCGTATTTTTGTAATACAGGTTGAGTATCATTTACCTAAAAAAAGCTTGGGATTAGTAGTGTTTCACATTTTGGCATTTTTAGATTTTGGAATATTTGCTTAGATTTTACCAGGTGAGCATTTCAATGTCTGAAATGATATGAAATCTGAAACTATTCAGTGTCATGTAAGCCCTCAAAAAGCTTTGGAGTTTGGAACATTCTTTTTTGGGTTAGGGATTCTCAATGGCATTAGGAATCTTAGAAAACTTGTTCCCTGAGTTTTCCAGATCTTCCAAATACTGACATCATCCATTACATGATTTATAAAAGTCACATTTACCAAGCTCACAGTGGTAGATAAAACTTCTGTTTGTTACCAATCAATTGGTAATAAATACTGTCCATTTTTTCCTTAAGGTGCATATTAAGTTCACTTCAGTCATTTTAAAAAAACAGCTACCAAATATCCACAGCTGAAAATCATAATTTATCTCTTATGGTACTCTATGAAAAAAAAAACAAGTGCCTTACTTAAGAACTTAATGTTATACATGCTTTTCTTTGAAACAAAAATAAAATACTATATGCCTATGTTTTATGTCTTTCCTCTGTCACACAGATATTAAAAATGTATATATGATTGAGATTTAACATGTAATATTTTTTGCTTCATCAATGCTGTTAAGTGAAACTTTCTCTTAATTGTGTGGCAATGAATAAAATTACTATATATGAAGTCACCAGCAGTTTGGTCATTTTTGCTTTTGTAAAATCATCAGTGCAAATTTCAACAAAGTGAAAGGGCAAAATAAGGTATGTAAAAATCACAAAAACAGTTTTGATAAGGCCTTGGAGACTTTCAGGAGTCCATGGGTAATACTGTGACCCATGTGAATTGCTGTTAAGGAGAATAGTAAATCAGGCATGCTAGAATTCATAACTCTGCAATGTAGGGGTGTTGTGAGGTTTTAGTCTCTCTAAATTCTCAACTGCCACATGTTAATTTACCTAGCAAAAGGATATAATATTGCTTATTAAATTATTAAAGGCTTTTCTCTACAAAGAAGCAGATAGAGATGGTAACCTTTTAACAAACACAAGTGATGTGTGGTTGCTTTCGCTTTCAATTTAAGTCAATTTAATCAATAGTTTTTCAATATTAATACAACAAATCCATCTGAAGAGAAAACAAAAAGATATTATCACCCAAGAAAACAAGTGTTACTGTGGGAAAGATCCTGCACATACAGCTGGATTAATTTTTAACAACTATGAATGGAATCGGTAGGTTCTCACTGGCTTGTTAGTTTCCATCCAAATTCATAAGAAAGACCTCAGTGGGAAGAAGTTTTCTTTTCCGGGGAACATTTGGGAATGTCTGGAGTACTTCTGGTTGTCACAACTGGACAAATGCTACTGGCATCTAGTGATAACAAGCCCGATACTGTTAAAACATCTTACCATGCATAGGGTGACCCCTACAACAAAGTTATTCCATTTCAAAAGTCAACAGTGTTGAGATGGAGCAATCTTTGCCATAAACCTTTCGAGCAGCATAAAGTGGAGGTGAGAAAAAAAAAATCAACAAGGACCAGAGACATTTTCAAGTTGTCAAACTCTTAAAAACTGGAACAGCCACTCTATTGAGGGAATACTAAATAGTCTTTGATTCAAAACAGATCCAAAGAGAGAAAGCTGAAGCCAGAGACTACAGGATGGGGATTAGTTTGTGCCAGTAATTTATTTTTCCCCTGTATAGCTCGCAGTAAAAGGCAGTCTTTACACATTAAAGTCATCTGTACTTTTTTATCTTTGTTCATTAGGGAAAATGTAAATACTCAGCTGTACACACTAGGTGATTATATATTGTGACTGCCCATTTATCTTTGCTCTAGCTGAAGGATTACTGATTTGTTTGATAATAAGATATGGGATAGTTTTCAAATCAAATACCAAAAATACAGTAGGGTAAGACTTTCACAATACTATTAGAAGGCTTTAGGAAAATATATTTTATCTTATTTAATAGGCCCAAGAAAGATTATTCTGTTTGCTTTGTACTTACAGAGTGAGAGAGGTTTAATTTTAGTTGCATCTTAAGACAGTTTCTACGAACTATTCATTATTTATACTCATTCGTTTTGGGGAGGGATTTACTGTACAGTAATAGGCAAAGAGAATTTTCAGTAAAGGATTTCAGTGAAGGAGGCTTTAAACATTCTTTTCTCAGACCTCTGAGACACCAACGGCTTTCCACTTGGACTTTAGCTTCCTTGACTTTAAAGTTGAAGGCATAAATCAATATGGATCTGTAAGGGATT